TGCAACCGTATTGTATGCTCCTGGATTCTAAGGTCTGTAAATCCAAGCATAGCAGAGAGCGTCATGTACTATGACAAGGCCATAGACATCTGGAATGCACTGCAGAAGAGGTATTCCCAATCTGATCCCCATAGAATCTCTGAAATTCAAACTGAAATTTTTAGAAATATGCAAGGACAAATGACTGTGAATGAATACTTCACAAAAAGTAATGCCCTATGGCAACAAATGAGTGCATTAAGGCCTCTACTCCTGTGCGAGTGTGTGCCAAGATGTTCATGCACTCTAATGAGTAGAATGCAGAAACAAAGGGATGAGGACCAAGTGATCCGATTCTTGGAAGGGTTAAATGATGAATATGAGGCAATTAAATCTGGGGTGCTTGTAATGGACCCCATTCCAGAGATGGAGAAAGTGTTGAATATGACCTTGAAGGTTGAAAGAAAACTTAGAGGCTCAAATGCCCAAAGATGCAGTGATTATGCTCAGTCCAATGCTGTTCATGAAAGTCAGATCCAAATTGGGGAAGGACAATCTGTGGTAGCAGCTGCAACTTACAGCAATAATAGAAAGAAATTCTCAAATAATGGGGGTAAGAATGTGCCCAAGTGCACTTATTGTAACATGCTTGGTCATACTGTTGATAAATGTTACAAGAAACATGGATTCCCACCTGGGTGGGTAGCAGGATACAAATCCAAGAACAAACAGTCACAAGACACACAACAACCATCAAGTTCAGCAGTTAGTCAGTTGAATGACACAGGCCTCTCAGCTGATCAATTCCAGAAGCTGGTATCTCTCCTTCAGAATCAAAACCATGGTGGTCAAGTGTTGAGTAATGCAGCTGTGACAGTGAACACCTCTGGAATCAAATCTGATTTCAAGGATTCTCCAGAAGGACAAAATGAAGGTAATTCTGCACCTAGAATTCATGTTAATGCTGTTCTTCACACACACTTGATATGGATATTGGATTCAGGAGCCACAGATCACATTGTGTGCTCATTGCAATTTCTTGATAAATATCACAAGATTGAGGGATTATCTGTGAAGTTACCTAATGGTGATATTGTCAGTGTTACTCACTTAGGGGAAATCAGGCTTGAAGAGAATATTTTGCTGACAAATGTGCTGTATATCCCATCCTTTACTTTTAACATCATATCTGCTAGTAGATTAACTAAGCAGTCTGGGTGCAAGATTGTGATAGATGCTGATTCTTGTACTGTCCAGGGTCCACTTGGAACCAAGGTTGGTTTTGCTAGAGAAAAGGATGGCCTATATCTGATCAACAGTCCTCCTATTAAGAAGAATGCTCAACAAATTGTTGTAGATAACTCTCAATGTAATAGTGTGACAATAGGATTGTGGCATAATAGATTGGGACACTATCCCATTAATAAGATTTCCCTATTGAATGGAATAAAAGCTACTCCCTTACAGCAGCAATGTGATTTTGTCTGTGATGCTTGCAATTTTGCTAAACATAAGAAGTCTATTTTTCCAGTTAGCACTTCTAAAGCTGAAAACTGTTTTGATCTCATACACATGGATGTATGGGGACCCTTCTCTGTGGCTTTCCTCAAAGGTGAACATTACTTTTTAACCATAGTTGATGACTGCAGCAGGTTTACTTGGTTACATATGATGAAAAGTAAATCTAAAGTCAAAAACATATTTCAAAATTTCTACAACTATGTGCTCACTCAATTCTCTGCTAAGATTAAGATGATAAGAACAGACAATGGGACAGAATTCTTGATGAATGACTTCTATGCTGAGAGAGGCATAGTCCATCAGAAAACATGTGTATATACCCCCCAGCAAAATGGAATTGTAGAAAGGAAGCATCAGTACATTTTAAATGTTGCTAGATCTTTGAGGTTTCAATCTGGATTGCCCCTAGAATTTTGGGGACACTGTGTGATACATGCCTCTTACATCATTAATAGGTTACCCACTCATGTTCTTGGTGGAAGCACTCCTCTTAAACTATTGACAGGAAAAGATGCTAGCTAAGAACATTTCAAAAACTTTGGATGCCTTTGCTTTGGGGCCACTATTTCCCAGGGGAGGAACAAAATGCAACCAAGAGCAAGAAAGTGTGTTTTTTTGGGGTATCCAGCAAATGTGAAAGGATTTATACTCTATGATCTTATTGACAAAGTAACTTTCATTTCCAGAGATGTCAGATTTTATGAGCTCACATATCCCTTCAGGAAAACAGAAGGCCAAAGCTCAGATGGATGTGATGTTGACAGTCCTTCACTTCCTCTAATTCCCATTTCAACTGAAATTCCCCTCCCAGAGGCTTCACCTAATTCAGGAGCTCTAGAACCTAATGAAAGGACTCCCACTCACAGTGTCACCTCAGAAATTGGTGATGGAAACAGTCCTAGAGATATAAGCCATCACAGCAGCAGTTCTAATGACAGTATGGCCAGTGTTGATATGAGCATTGAGAGGTCTAGTGCAACAAATAATCACAGTACACAGCCTAGAAGATCAACTAGATTAAGGGTGGCTCCTCATAAGCTAAATGACTATTACTGTCACTCTATATCCAACACTGGAACAAGTAAGATATCTTCTCCTCATCTTATACAGAAATTCTGTATATCTTCTATAGTCACACCTATAGAACCACATTCATATCATGAGGCTGTAAAACATGATGAATGGAGAAGGGCCATGGAATCTAAGATTGATGCTTTAGTTCAGACCAACACATGGATTTTGACAGACTTACCCACAGGAAAACTCCCCATTGGATGTAGGTGGGTATACAAAATCAAACATAAGTCTGATGGTACCATAGAAAGGTTTAAAGCAAGGTTGGTGGCTAAGGGATACACTCAACAAATGGGAGTGGACTACACAGAGACATTCTCTCCTGTTGCAAGGATGACTACTATCAAGACCTTCTTGGCAGTGGCAATTGCAAATAATTGGGATATTCAGCAGCTTGACATAAATAATGCTTTTTTACATGGTGATTTAGATGAAGAAGTCTACATGGTCCTACCTCCAGGCTTCAAAACTAATAAGCCCAATCAAGTCTGCAAATTGCTTAGATCTCTATATGGATTGAAACAAGCTAGCAGACAATGGAATGCCAAGCTAACAAAGTCTTTATTAGCCTATGGCTTCCAGCAATCATCATCAGATCCTTCTCTATTCACTATGTCATCTAATAACTCATTCCTTGCTTTGCTTGTGTATGTAGATGACATACTTGTTGCAGGAACAAACTCTGATCAGATAATGCAGCTAAAGCATATGCTAGATTCAGCTTTTAGAATCAAGGATCTTGGGCAGCTTAACTATTTCCTAGGCCTAGAAGCAGTCAGAACAAGTACAAGATTGATCCTCTGTCAAAAGAAGTATGCATTGGAAATCCTAGATGAAAATGGATTTCTAGATGCCAAGCCTGCCAAGACACCTTGCACTCCAGGAACTAGGCTTAACAACACTGAAGGCATACTTCTTGACAATCCTGAAATGTTCAGAAGATTGGTTGGCAAACTACTCTATTTAACCAACACTAGGCCTGACATCTCATATTCTGTGCAGCAATTAAGTCAATTTGTTGATAAACCAAGAAGCACACATTTGGTTGCAGCTCATAGGGTACTAAGATACATCAAGGCCTCACCTGGAAAAGGACTTTTCTATGCTTCCAACTCTGAACTTAAGCTACAAGCCTTTTCAGATTCAGACTGGGCTACATGCACAGAAACCAGAAAGTCTATAACAGGTTTTTGCATCTATCTTGGGAAGTCTCTCATCTCTTGGAAGACCAAGAAACAAGCTACCATCAGTAGATCATCATCTGAAGCTGAATACAGAGCTTTAGCTTCTATAGTGTGTGAAATCCAGTGGCTTTTATATCTTCTGGCAGATCTACAAGCAAACAGCTGCACAGCCAGTCCCATTTCCTTGTTTTGTGATAACAAGTCTGCTATAGCCATAAGTGAGAACCATGTTTTTCATGAACGCACCAAACACATAGAGATTGACTGTCATGTGGTCAGACAAAAGGTGCAAGAAGGAATAATCAGGCTGATGAGCATTCCATCCCACAAACAGATAGCAGATGGATTCACCAAGGCATTGCCTATTCCCTTGTTTGATTCTTTTCATACTAAGCTGGGACTTCAAGACCTTCATTCTCCAGCTTAAGGGGGGGGGGGGGGGGGTGATGAAGATAATGCAGCTAGTTAGTTTTGTTAGTTGAGTTAGTTTTGTTAGTTATAACTACTCTAGGGCTTAAGTAGCCGGATAATGCTTCTTCCTTCTGTAATCTTTCACTCTGTACAATTCCCAGCTCTTATGAGCTTTCTCTGCTTTGTAATGAAGACACACCATTGTTCCTAAGTTCAAGCTTTCCAACACAACATTATCATACATTTCAATGAACCATTGTTTTGATACAATAACAGTTCAACCAACCAACCAACGTTATGGAAGATGAACTCCAACAACAACTCAATGAAACATCATTGTGATAACAGTCAAACAAACCCAATGAACCAATGTTTGGGTAGAGTAAGTTTAGAACTAATATCTCAACCAAATACCAAATCATATTTAACACCAACACTTCAATGAATCTCACAATCCAGTAATATATAGACTATCACTCATGAAAAATTTCAACATATCAAATACAATAACCAACCACATTATTGAAGATGAACTCCAACATCAACGTCATTGTAATAACAGGCAGGCTGAAAATGAGATCACCACAACTTCAGGCAGCAAGGATGCATTTATGGGAATGAAGCCAATGCATCATTGTAACTTATATATGATTCCCTTCAAGAAACACAAACGGAAAAGCTAAAATTCTTTGCAAATACCCAAAATAAAATGTTTAAAAGAGACGGTAGCTAGGTTTTGATGTTGCATTGGTAATTTGGTATGCATACCTTGGTTAAACCAGATTTCCTCAAACACAAAATTATCGAATTGCATACTCACTCCTTTTTTCTGAGCTTTCATTGGTTGGCAGCTCAATCTAATAAAAAAAACCAGAAAATTTAAGAAAAAATACGAGAGGAAGGAGGAATTAAAATAAAAATTGATTAATAGAAGCAAAAGACTCATAAACTATTTATAAAAATTCATAATTCATAAATGGGAATTAGAAAGAGACCTTAGTTACTTCACGAACAACGAGTCCTTCATATCCCAAATCTTGTTGCGCTTGTTGGATTGCCTTTGCTGAAGTCACAAGAGAAGAACAACAATTGCCTAACTCAATTAATCGCAATGTATGAACCTCCTTAAAATCATTTGGAAGTTTTTACAAGTCCCAACAATATCTTAGAATTAGATGCTCCAAAACTGGGAAATGGTTTGCATTTGCATTCCAATGTTCGAGATCAGAGCGCTCAATAAGGAAGAACTTTAGTTGTAGAAACTCCCCATCCCGTGGTGTCCACTCTGGGCCACAACAAGCAAAATCTTTCAATTTGAGTAAATCAAGGCTGGGTAAATTGCCAATAATCTCCATATCTTCCCATGAAAGATACGTGTTACTAAGGGTCAATTGCTTGAGGTTTGATGGAAAACAATTTGGGAGATTAAACCGCTCTACCCTTCCCATTTTAACCTTTAACTTCTCAAGTTGATGTAACTGAGCAAGGCTCTCAAGAGCATTAGGCAATACTTCACCTTCAATGTAGATCCCCAACTCCTTCAGGTTTGGAACTTTTGTAAAGTTGGTTGTTCTGGAGTCCTGTCCAGTAACTTTGAACCATGAAAGAGTTTGTAAGTTTTCTTGAACCAAGTTTGGGAGATAAGATGAAGATCCCTTGTCAAAGCGCACATGCCTTAACCATGGCAAATCCAAAACATCACATGGCAGTTGCAATTGAAACTCTTTTGTCCACGCGGAGAGAATGAGAGTTTGCAAACTTTGGAGCTTAAACAATTGAGAGTTACAAACATAACCTATAGTTGTTAAAGCTAAATATCTTAAATGAACCAAATTCACAATCTCACTAGGCATGCCGTGCCAATATTTTATTAGTGATAAGTCCAATACTCTTAACAACTTCAAAGATGAGAATGACCAACACTTTGCAAGATATAAATTATCATCAAAGTAGAAAAGGGAACGAATTTTAAGTGAAGAGTTAGTAAAATAACTTGTAGCAATTGACCAACAACCATATTGACGACTTACCCAACGACGCCCTTCAAGAAACTTATCATATTCCGTTGTACTAACCATCATAATATCCTCCTCCTCAATTGCTTTTCTCAAGCAAAATTTATGTAATATATCATGAAGCATACATGATTTGATTTTTCTATCCGAACTCCTCTTGTGAATTTGAACTAGCCTTCTATTGATAAGATCACACAAATAATCTTTAGATATCTCTTCTAAACTCTTGTTCATCTCTGGGTTTACAAATCCTTCAGCTACCCATAACTTTATCAACTTTTTCACATGAATTTCGGTATTCTTAGGAAAAACTCCGAAATAAAGAAAACAAGCTTTTAGGTGAGTAGGCAAATAATGGTAGCAAACTTCAATTGTGTTATACAACAGTATCTCAAAACGATCCTTGCATGATGAAATGGTGAACAGAATATCCTGCCACTGGCTTGGTGAGTTGTTGAGTGTGGCCAGAAGTCCACCAATCAAAACAATTACTAGTGGTATTCCCATACATTTCTCAACAATGCATCTCCCTATTATCTCAAATTCAGGGGGTGGACTACATAATTTTCCATTAGACGTAGCAGTTTTGCTTAATAATTTCCAGCTTTCTTCTGGATTCAGACTACGTGTTCTGAAAATCCACATGTCTGAGCTGCTAGCAAATTCAGCTACTTTCTTATTTCGAGTAGTTATCAGAACTCGGCTTCCATTTCTATCATCTGGAAAAGATGTACTCATGAATTCATTCCATGCCTCCTCTGACGTCCAAAGGTCATTAATGACAATGAAATACTTTTGGCCTATCAGGAGTTTGCGGAGTTGCTCTGCTAGCTGCTCATCATCTTGTTTGGAGATTTCTTCATTGCTCAATGACACAATACAACTTAGAATATCAATCACTACATTTCTCTTACTGTGTACTTGACCTTCAACCGTCCATGCTTGAATGTCAAAGTGAGACACAATTGAAACGACTTGAAGTTGAGTGGACGCAGAAGTTTGAATGAGCATGCCTTTTATTTTCTCAACATCACCTTTGACTCCTATCATTGTATTCTCAAAATCATAGTTGGAGGAGGAGGAGGAGACACCATCCCTGACGTTCTGTAGCTGTAAACAAGGTGGTGTTGATGATGAAGAAGAAGAAGAAGACACCATACCTGCTGTATGTTTGGTTTGCAGATCTCTGATGCGCACCTCAACACACTCAAAATCCTTCAACACTTGTTGGAAGCTCCGATGAAGATCTTCACCCTGCTGGTTAGCCGCCAAGTAAACTTCACCCAGTTTGGATTCGATTTCATATTCTGCTTTCATTGCAACATCTCTGATTTCTTCATCCAGCCTTTTCACTGCTTTCCGATCGCGATCAGAGGTAATTATGGACTTAGGTTTGTGAAGATAGGCGTGCAAGAAATGGAGCTTGTCCTTTAAGGTGGATAGGATGATTTGAGCATCATCTAGATCTATCTCAGGAAGAATCAAACAAGGATTGTTTTTATTATGAAGATGAAGACGCTGTAGTTGATCTACTGTTCCTAGTAGACTAATCACAACAACACATTCCATTGCTGAATTAAATTGTTTTTTCTCTTCTTCTTTTTCTGAACTACTGATGGATCTGAGAATTTCGAATTGGCTATAGTAGTATTTGGATGGTGTTATTGTTCAAACAATAATTAAAACAAGAGATAATAATTACGGATTAATTGATTGTTAATTAGATGACTCATCAATTGGATACCCACTAAATTACACAGAATATAAGTTGACTATAACAATAATAGACAACCTAACATGCATATTAGTTGTCATGATAATATTAAGATTTCTTTTTTAATGTCAAACTAAATATAACAATTGACAACTAGCATAATAGTTGACTATTTGTCATGATAATATTAATATTTTCTTGGGAGAAGAATATTAATATTTTTTCTCAAATTAAATATAACAATAGACAACTAGCATATTAATTAGTTGTCATGATAATATTAAAATTTCATTTCAAATTAAATATAATAATAGGGCAGACAACTAGCATATTTTATTAATGTTTCTCCAAATAAATTATTAATTAGTTTAAAAATTATAGCAAAATATGAATACCAGTAGCATATGAAAAAATTAAAAGATTAGAAAATGTCAACTAGCAGTCCATGCTATGCTAGCCACTCGCAGGGACGTATTATTTATCTCAAATCCAAGCTAGCCAACAATCCAAAAGGAAATAGAACCAAAAGCATTTCACTATCTGGTCTTATGTTGTTTCATTCTATGCACTCCTCCATTTTGTATAATAATAGAAAAATGCACCACCTCCCAAATTACTTGACCTATTTAGATTCTTGATAGTTGACTGGCTTTTATATTGACCACATTTTTGCTTAACCTTCCAAATCTGTTGAATTTGTGAATTTGAGGATGATTAGACAGCCGTTTGACTATTGTTCATGAATCATGATGCAATGATTTAACCTTCACTTGAGAAACAAAAGTAGTTTGTAGTACTAAATGCATTTTCTTATCTCTTTTGCTGATTTTCTCCGTTTTCCTGATTTGTCCTTTAATTTGTGCTTTGATATGGTGTTTCAAGATTGATGTCTATGAACTCTCTAGATTGGTAGCATGCTACTTCTCGTGTCATATTTTGCAAAACTGGAGTCTCTGATGTATATTCTCAAAATTATGTAAAACTTGATAAATCTTCTAAAGCATCAACTCCGCCAAAGAATATATACTGCACTTAATGTTGTTTTAGTCCGTCTAATGCATTGGAATGAACTTGATGTAAATAAATTATAATATTAGGGTTCACATTTACGGAAGTAAACTCTATTCGTGCAAGTGTGAGTAAAGTAGTCTGCTGCCACTTCTCATCAGATGGAAAGCTGCTTGTCAGAGCTACTGAATTTCCTCACTGCTTCATATTTGATTGTTCTGATCTTCACAAGTTTTGTTTCATTATCTGGTCATGCAGGCTGTTTTGTGGCATACAGATACCTTAAAGCCAAAAACTACACTTGAAGAGCATTCATCACTTATAACTGATGTTCGTTTTAGTCCAAGCATGGCCCGCCTTGCAACATCTTCTTTCGACAAGAGTGTAAGAGTTTGGGGTGCTGACAATGTAAGCCAACATTATACTGTACTTTGTTTCTTTTCTTTTCTGAAATTTGTTCATGTACAAACTTAAAAAGTTTGGTAGATCGTTCAAATTTGAAGATAGATGGTTAGATTGTGCATAACAGTTATGTGAGTTATTTCTGAAGATGCATGTGCTAGTCCTATTTTTTATCTAACGAAAAACGGAAAGGAGGTTTTGAGAGAAGCTTCTTGACATGGTTTCTTTAAAACTATCCTAATTGGACCTGTATTGGTTGTGTAGCCTGGCTACTCCCTTCGGAATTTTACTGGGCATTCTGCTGGTGTTATGTCACTAGATTTCCATCCCAATAAAGAAGACTTGATCTGTTCTTGTGATGGGGATGGTGAGATTAGGTACTGGAGCATCACAAATGGTAGCTGCACTAGAGCATTCAAGGTACTGTAATTTGTTAGTTCCATGTTATAAATATATATGGTGTGTTCTTTCCTCGTTGTCACTGTTATTTGGTATCATGACTTGATCTTAATGTTCATTATTTGAAATAGGGTGGCACGGCTCAGGTGAGATTTCAGCCTCGTCTTGGCAGGTATCTTGCAGCGGCTGCTGAGAGTGTTGTATCAATTCAATTCTTGACGTGGAGACACAAACATGCAGACAGACGTTAAAGGTGAGTGCATAGAATTCGTGTGAGAATTTGTTATGGCTATTGGCTAGCCTAATGTTCAAAACTAATATTTTGCTGGGTAACCCTAACCAAGTTGGTTAGGCTGTTAGCTTGGTAATCACAAGGTTCCAAATCCGACTCCTAGGAGGAGCGGCCTATTGACCTTCTTGGCTTGAGCTGGTCAGCTAAGGGCCAACCTAGTTACCTAGACTTGTTTACCTCCTTGTGATCCTGTAATACCCACAACCTTATAAATAATATATATATATATATATGTTTAGTAAATGAGGTCAACAAGTCAAAGCTTATTAAAATTTGATATTAGATAAAATTACTAAATTACCCTTCTCTACCCTTAAAGATTAAGGAACCTCTTGGTCTTGGAGAAAGTTCTCTTTTAAAAGAAGATAAGGAGAATTTACTAGAGAGATAGGGGAAGGAAAAATCTTGAAGCTTTGATCTCCATCTTCTTCAAGTTTAGGTCTCAGGTCTCAAGTTATTGGGAGTATTCTAGGTGAGTTTGATCTCCATTTTTTCACTCTTTTTGAGTTGGGTTTATCATTTGAACCCTAAGATTAATGTTTGAAAATATTAGGGATTTTGACAAGGAGTATTTGGGCGAGTTTAATAGCTAAGATTTGGATGTTTTTAGGTAAGTGGTTAATTCTTCTTTCCTTATTTTGCAAAACCCATATATTATCTATTTTGGAATCTCTACTACTTTGGATACCCATTTTAGGGTTAGTATGAGTTAAAAATATTTTAGACAATGATATGTTTTTGGGTATGAAATGCTAAACTGAAGTTTGGATGGAAATTGTGTTTGGGTGTGTTTTCGGAATAGCTATTAAGGTAAATTATTTCTGACTGCAATTGTACATATGTGTTGAGACGGTAGAGTGGTTTATGGCTGCTGTGCAAGTGGGTAGGTTGTGGGTTCGACTCTTTTTGCTAGCATACTGTGTGGTTTTTTTCTATACCATATGCTTTATAAAATGGCCAGATTATTTGTGCAAAGTGAGACTTGAATACCATATGCTTTATAAAATGGCCAGATTATTTGTGCAAAGTGAGACTTGAACTTTAAAGCTTATGCTTATTAACTTAAGTTCTTTCCACCTAAGCCATTTCAATCCCTTTGAAACTACTTTGGTAATATACCATTTTATGATTTTTTAAAGAGTTATGTACTAAGAAAATTATTATTTTGAGAATGGTTTATACCTTGCATATTTCTTAGTTTGATAAGCTTATTATCTATTTTGGAAATATGAACTTTGTTATGTCATCTTAAGGAAATGATTTTTGCTACATCGGGCTATTTGATTATAAGAACTATTTTGATTGTTTGATCAAACTCATGAGGCAACCTACATTTTGTTATTTGTTTTGTTTGGCTTGGAACGTTCCTAATTGCTCATTCTGAATTGTCGAGCTTGACTCATTCCGAATCGTCGAGTCTTTTGAATTATTTGTTGGAACGTTCCATCCGGCTCATTCTGAATCGTCGAGCCCGACTCATTTCGAATCGTCGAGTCTTTTTGGACCATTATGCCGATAATGGTGGTTGTAGGTTGCCAATGAGTCATATGTTAAGGAATGGTTTGTGCATTTGAAAGTATTGTATTATGAAATATTGTTGATGCCCATGTAGCTAAAGTTTCTTGTTTTGTGAACTTGTGTATAGTATGATGAAAGTATTATGACTTCGATATAGTTTAAAGATCGAGTTTTGCATCGAGTTATTACTCTAAAGCTTTTTGTAATATTTTGGGTTTACTTGATCCGGGGTTGAGAGGAATACCACTTACTGGGCATTAGCTCATTATTTGTATTTTTTTTCCTCATGTTTCAGAGTAGTTAAGGACATGTGAATAGCACGAGCACAAGTGGTGGGTTCTTGAAGTTGATTCTTGAAACTAGGAGACTTAGTCCTAGTATTGGACCTTATCACGGACTTTTGTTTATTTGGATATTCTCTTTGACCCTCTGTATTTTTTGTAAACCATTGTGCTTGGTTT